GAAAAATATATCAGAGTTTTATTATTGCTCCATTAAAGAGGAACTCTTTGTTGAGTAGTAGTGTATTTCGTATCATTCTGAGAACAAAATATAATGTAAGAAGTAAGTCGCGTTTACAAAACTAAGTATACTCTAATCTTCTCTAATATGTTAATTGTGTCCTTTAATAATATATAATGAAAGATGCAACACAGAATTCCTATTAGCGCAGTTTATGTAGCAAAAGTACATGAACTGAGCTAACAGGAATCAAAAAGTGCTGCTCAGATTACGCTAATTAAGCAGTATATTTTGCGTTAAAAATTGTTATATTCGAGAATAACAGAAAGTGTTCAACCATCCACGATCATTGCTAGCCTTTAATCCATCAGATTCTGTAAGCATGCATCTGTGCCATTCACTATCGAAAATAGTTCCATTACATTCGCAGCCGGTGCGATAGCAGCATTTAGGAACGCCATTTGTTTTTAGCCTAGAAGGGCTATTAGTCTCGAAACGGCATTTTGCATCGGTTCACTATAAATGTCTATTTCACTTTTCAAATTGTTGCCACCAAATATTACAATCCTGTCTTAAAGAAATTAAATAATCAAGAACTTGTCATTCAGATTCACCTTTTTTAGTGAAACTCCACAAAATGCCATTTTGAGAATAATAGTCCTTCTGGGTTACCGCCCATTTGGGCTAATAATGCATTTGTATCCTGACTTTCCAAGCGGAGAAAGAATATATTCATTTGTTCAGAAATTCAAAAATAAGAATGTTCTCTCCCCTCCAGTCCCTTTGCAGCTGTTTAGGACAAACGAAAACATTTAGTATTTTCTTGTTTTGAAAGTTCTTTCTTCTCCAAAATTAAAACTAATCTTAACTTACAAAGATTTAAATAGAAAGAAGCTACATTTTCTTAGAATATCTTACTCAGGGCAAAGATCTGATTGCGTCAAAAAAACGTGTTAGCTTTTACGTTCTTCGAAACGAGATTTCTTCTAAACCAGACAGCAACAGAATTTCTTTTTAAATCTTCTAACAGTGTTGCCATGTTGCCAAATTCTTGGAGTTAAAGCTTCTCTCATCCTCTTCCGGAGCTACCGGAAATTATTCAGACCGTAAAAGAAGATTTTCAGGGAAGAAATAATTGCTGCTAGTTTATCTCATGCATTAAATTTTATTAAATATGAACCAGCGGAAAGCCCTTTTCTGATTATTTGCGCTCCCACAAAAGTTGCCAGTTCATAAAATCGCCAACTTTGCCAATTTTGTGAGTTTTTGAAAAAAAAAAAAAAAAAAAAAAAAAAAACTTGTTTAGATATTTTTGTGGCTGATAACTGTTTGTGAAGGGGAACAAAAGCAATGATATAACAGATATTTACATCGTTACATCGGCGAATATTGTTCAGCGAAATAAAGGTTAAACACGAAGTTTGTAAATCCATCCGTACTTCAACACATGTGTGGTACGGAGACTTCGCATCATTTGATCGAAGCTTTGTGAATAACCTTGTCTCCTGTGTAACAAATAGATGACAAAAATAAAGGACTCAGGAATAAGAGATAATTTTTCAAGATGAGTCTCAGATTTCACTACAGATTTTTGTTTCTTTCTTTCTGCTTCCCTTTCTTCCTTTTTGTTATTGAATATTGCCACAGTAATATTTAAATTCTTAGCTCGAACACTCACACGTCTATTACATTTCCTTCACGCGCTTTTTATCAACTTAAATCGCGTAATACCTACCGAAAGATCAGTGTAATATGACTTCTTATGTTCTATGTTGCAAATTAATCCCAATTACAAGTTTCACAAAAATAGAAAAAATGTTGAACAGTCCTTGAGCGCAGATATTTTTGTTTACCTAATCCTTTGATATAATCAAGTTTATCTCGCCGAATAATTATCTGCTGAGTAACTTTATTTTCTCGGGTCATAGTCCGATGGTTCTTTATGCTTTTTATACACAGTGGGCAGATTTATTTGTCAACTTGATTTATAACTTGATCAGTCAAGAGTGTAATGGTTTTTATGTTGACGTGACTTAGTTTTGGCCTCTAGGATTATTTATAAATTAGACTAATGCGATTAAAACCGAAACAAGGTGAGCTAAAGAAAATCCTGCTTTTTAAATTAACAGCGTTCATTCAAACAATACCCTTAAAGGTAACAATAGAAGTGGCTTGTAAATACTATTTGTAATAATTTTATTCTGACCCTAAAAAGAAGCAGAATGCGTTTGCTCTACAGTTCAGTTACAATTTTCTCGCTGCATTACATTCATTCGAAAAATCAAGTTATTCGAATCATGAATGTTAAAAAACTTAATTCATTTTTTGCATCCAGACGGCCAGCGGGAAAGTCAGTCCAAGACTAGAGATAGATTTATGGCGTTATTATGACAAAAGTCGCAATTACAAGGAGTCCTGCTTTCCAAAAGGCCCCCAAATCATTGACTAATTAAAAAAGATGAACATATTTAATGCCTTAAAATGAGAGATCCTTCCTCAAACGTTATTTTGGGGAAGGGACGATTTCAGAAATCCGCCCCCGATGCAACTTCGAAGAAGAATCTACCATCGATCATTTAAAATAATTTTAAATATATTTAAAAAAAATTAAAAAATAGGACAAGATTTTTTAAATTTTCTCTCAGATTAATGTATTTAAAATTTAATTTGATACCGAAAGCAAGTTTATTGCGAATTTTTCAGACTAAATGGTTAAAGTAAAGTATGGAACTGGACTCGTAACGGTTTCGCCAACTCAAACCCTAAAAGTTGTGTTAAATTTCTATCTGGAGAATTTTGATGCCACGCCAATAAAAGATATGCATTTTCAAGTTCTTGGAACCACTGCCTAATCTTCTTTGCAGGATGATAAAAAATGATGTTCTTGTTGAAAGGCCCTAACACCGCCAGGGAATGTAACCGCTATAATGTACTGCTCTGTACGTATGAGCACTATGATATCTCATACGAATAAGGATGGTAAGTGTTCCCAGAACATAATTAATCAAGTAATCAGCGCTCTCACTCTCCTAATGCATCCAGCGGCGAATCCAGGCGCGAAAGAATCTGGCTAAATGTCGCATGTCTACGTATTGTAACAAATGAAGGGATTCGTCTTGCCACGGGATCCGCTTCTCAGTTTTTTATCATCCAGTTTTATTCACAATAAGTTACAGCTAGAGAGAATTTTCAAGAAATATCTTAGTTTTCGTCGAGAACAATGCAGGAAAATTTTTCCTAGGATCGTTTATCTCATTTTCGTTATCACATCTATATGACAGAATTCAAACTTTCTTAAAACTCACTTTGTAGATTGATTAGGTTTCTTTCTGTTATATTTATTGAGGGTTTATATTTATACTGAAAAATCAGTAATGCCCTTGGCTGACTTCAAACTCCGGATCTCCCGACTGCCAGCCGAATGTGCTCCCAATTACATTATGAAGATACGAAGTAAGGGAGGCGAATATTCCTTACATTCTGCTCCATATAAAAGGTGCTTGGGAAGGAGGAGGCTTCAGTTGCCAAATCCAGGAGGAATCAAAGTAACGACCACCACATTTTTAGCTCGGCGCCACTTTTAGAGTCAAAGCTGGAATCATGAAAAATCAGTAATGCCTTCGCCAGGATTCGAGCACCGGACCTTAGATTGCTAGCTGGAGATGCTTCCAATTACACTGCGAAAATAGGTATTTGCTGTTTTACTTCGCCATCAAAACCACGTTTTGGAAAATGGGAAACTGTTGCCATTTCAAACAGCATTAAGATTTTTAATTTATCTTTGAACAATTTTCAACCTATCCGATGGCTATTTTAAAATTAAACAAAATCTGAAACATTCTTTGTTACGTAGATATTAAAGCTGGATTTTACAATATTTTATGAGGTAATTCAACTCCCTATTACTGAATTTTCTATCTGGCATAATTTATGTAAGATTACCCTCAATAAGAACATAGTAGAGCAAAACATTACTTAAACATAACAAACTACATTACTTAAACATAACTAAGTACTTTATTTTACTAATATGAAATAAAATGAATGAAAAGATAAATTACGTGAAATTTAATGTTACAGGTGGTAGGAGTAAGGATCAGCAGTTAAAAATAGAAGAAAAGTTGTGTTCTCCGGAATGGCAACATAAGAAAGATATTCTTAAACAAGAAGAAATTTTTACTGGGACTTATACACCCTTCGTCTAATTGCTGTTTTGTTCCACGGGACTGGAAGATGGCTCTTAGACGGTCCTTTTAAAGTCTACGTTGTATATTTCCAAAGAGATGTAGGACTTTACCATTGCTTTCACGAATAGGATATTTCAAGTAAAATATACTTAAACTGAAAAGTCTTTTACTAGCGCAGCCTCAAAGCATCGAACCAACATAACGCAGGTGAAAGCTCAATTTATTTTGTAAATGCATGCTCCCACGTATTTAAGCGATAATAATTATTTGGGCGAAAATTATTTCAGAATTACTAGAATGGAATTATTGTTTTCCGTCATTGAATATTAGTTTTGGTTACTTGCCAAAGTAATAAATAGGCAGTATTTGAAAGTAATTTCTTTTTAAATGTCAAAGTAAGAAATACGCCAGTGTTCTAAGTGTTGGATTTCAAAACAATGTAGTTGTTACAAGTAAATACAAAATACAATTTTGTATTTACTTTAATTTTATACTTATAATTTTGCAATACTTATTACTTTTACCTTTTGGCCACTAATAATTGTTGTTAGTTTGGCTTCATGAGAGTTGCAACAGAGCAATTCTTAGAATTAGGAAAACATGTTTCTGTAGTTAGTTAGGCTTATTGAAGATTAATTGTATGTTATATACCTAAGTGATGTTTTATTAAATAAATTAATACTTTAGAATATAGTAGTCTCTTTAGAGTCCTTGATACGCTGGTAGCATAATAGTTTGACGCATAAGCGAACATTTTAGTGGTACCCTCGGTGGGATATAAGAGACGTTAGTTTGGAATTCTAAAGTATAAAAATGGAAGCTAAAGAAGCTATTAAACTTGAAAAGAAGATTCACAGAGCTGCTTTTACAAAAGCCTTCAATGTTTTAGAAGAAATTTTAAAGAAAAGTGATATAAATTCTTCTGAATTACAGTCGGAGCTTAATGTTTTTGCTTCGAAAGCTCAACGTTTGGAAGATACGCACGTACGTTATCTTAGCACACTGTCCGAAAACGAAATTGAAGCAGAATTCGATATTATTAAAGATTATCGTGACAAGGCCATTAGAATCGAAACTAAAGTGAAAGATATTCTTCAGAATCTACAAAATGTAAGTACTTCAAATTTAATTTTGAATGAATCTGTCAATGAGAATGTATGTAAGCGTACATTTAAACTTCCGAAGCTTGAATTACGAAAATTTGATGGGGAAATTAAGGAATGGTTATTTTTTAGGAGTCAATTTGAAAAAATTGACAAAGATACTACGATTTCTGATAGTGATAAATTTCAGTATTTATTACAAGCGACTGTTGAGGGTTCGCGTGCAAGGGAGGTTATAGAAAGTTTTCTCCCTACATCTGCTAATTATCCCAAGGCCATAGAATGTTTGAAGGCTCGTTTTGGTCGAAATGACTTGCAAGTGGAAGTTTATGTGAGAGAATTGTTGAAACTGGTCCTGAAAATTGCAAATTGTAGTAATTCCTGTAATAACTTATGTGCATTATATGATAATTTGGAACAACAAATTCGGGCCCTGGAAACCCTTGGCGTCACTACAGATAAAAGTGCTGCATTACTTTATCCTTTAGTTGAATCTTGCTTACCTGAGGATTTTTTAAGAGCCTATCAAAGAAGTGTAAATGCTGACCATGGTCCAGACCCTAAATGTAGACTGGACAGTTTATTAAAATTTTTGAAATCAGAAGAACGCATAAGTTTAGTTATGGCTGGTTTTGGTTTGAAGAACGAAGTGACCTGTGGGATAAAATCTATTAAAACTGTTCACGATCGACCATCAACGGCAGCAAGTTTATTAAGTACTGATTCTTCCACTAAGAAGTGCGTGTTTTGCAGCGGAAAACATTATTCATTTAATTGTTCTAAAGCTCAAAAAATGACATTTTCAGAGAGGCAAAAAGATAAAGGGCACTGCTTTCGCTGTTTAAAGGCTGGTCACTGTGCAAATAAATGCACAGTGACTAGCCTTTAAACAATTGTATATAATAAATGTTGTAAAAAATAAATGTTCTATTAAATGTGCAATTTGTCATAAAAATCACAGCGTAATTATGTGTTTAGAATTGCTTAAAAATAAAACAAATGTTAAGAAGCCTATGTTAAACAGCAATGAAAAAGAAACTAGCAAGGAAGAAAGTTCTGTAAATCTTTCTAGCGTTAGCAACACATCACACGTACTTTTGCAAACCCTGAAAGTAAAAATAATTGGAAATAATTGTACACTTTGTGTTGGAGCTTTATATGACACAGGATCTCAAAAATCGTATTTAAGGAAGGATTTAATTTCTTCTCTAGGCCTGATACCTTCTAGACAACAGATTTTAAGCCACTCCCTTTTTGGAGGAGAACGAACACCTGAAAATGTGCATAATGTCTACAAAATTAAGCTAAAGAGTTTACACGATAATTTTAATTGTACTTTTGATATTTATGAGCAAGATACAATTTGTGATGCTGTACCTTCTGCCTTAAATGGGCCATGGATTAAAGAGCTCAGGTCCATGAATATACCATTTTATGACACTGAAGATTCATCAGGGCCTATTGATCTTTTAATTGGTGCAGATGTGGCTGGTCGCGACAGAAAAATAGTACTTTCTAGTGGTATTGTAGCCATAGAAACTTTACCTGGGCTGGACATTGATTGGTAAAACATCCAGTGAATGCTGAAAGGGAATGAAAATACGGCGATGACGATTGTAACAATGTTTGTGAAAAAGATGCCAATATTTCTGACTTTTTTTCCTTAGACATCTTAGGAATATCTGATCCAGTCGAAGTAAAATCACGAAAAGGAAAAGGAATTTCTTACGAAAAAATAAAAATATTTTCAAGAGACTCTACGAATCAATGATGATGGGCAGTACGAAGAAGTTGCCTTACCGTGGAAAGACGATCATTTGCCTCTCCTAACCAACAAAGATATAGCGATAAGAAGACTTCAAGTCTCAACCAAAAAAGCTGAATTCAGAAAAATTATTTGATACATATGATGATGTCTTTAAGCAATGGACTGAATTGAGAAATAATAGATGATGTCACAGATGTGCATGATTCACACCAGCACTTTCTTCCTCACCGACCTGTAGTCAAGGAACATGGTACTACCAAAGTAACGTCCAGTGCCAGTTTCGAATGTGTCTGCTAGGCAAATTGGATCTCCATCTTTGAACCAGTGTCTAGAATCCGGTCCCAATTTATTAGAACTCATTCCAATTCTCCTTATGAGATTTAGAAAATTTAAATATGGTGTTATTGCAGATATTGAAAAGGCCTTTTTGCAAGTGAGCGTTCGGCCGGAAGAACGAAACTATTTGAGATTCTTCTGGTGGAATGATAGCGACTGTAAAGAAATTAAGGTAAGGCAACACAACAGATTGGTCTTTGGTGTAAAGAGCAGCCCTTTTCTTTTGGGAGCAGTTTTAGATTATCATTTGGGAAAATCTTTGAATGATGCCAGATATAATTAAGATTATGTGAAGATTCTTATTTCGAGTTTCTATGTTGATAATTTAGTAACGAGCTTAAATGATACATGTGATATATTACCCTTCATTGAAACGTCTTAAGCCATACTGAGTGAGGGAAAATTCAATTTGAGAGGCTGGCAGTACACTAATGATAAAGGTCCTGAACCATTTACTTCTGTATTAGGACTTTTATGGGATAGAAACAAGGATACGCTGATGATAAATCTGGACTGGTTAGACAGCTATAAATTCGAAACTTTGACCAAAAGAATAATTCTTTCTGTCACTCGTAAGGTGTTCGATCCAGTTGATTTATTATGTCTTGTTTTGCTGATACCCAAATTGTTATTGCAATGGATGTGGAAAGAAAACATACCTTGGGACTCTGAAGTCAACGCTAATATAAAAGAAGAATTTACGAGCTGGTTTTCAGAACTTCATTTGCTGAAGGAAGTGACCATATCACGGTGTTTTTCAATTGATCCAAGTAGACAAAACATTTCTCTGCATACGCTTTGTGATGCTAGTCATTCGGCCTTCGCAGCAGCTGTTTACATTCGTGTGGAGACATCGGAGAATGTCCAAGTTCATCTCTTAGCAGCCAAAGCTAGAGTGGCTTCTGTAAAACCCATGACTATCTCTCGATTGGAGCTGATGGCTGCTATGGTGGGAGCTCGTTTGTGTGCATCTGTTGTGGAAGGGCTTCAATGGAAACATGCGAACAGCATTATTGGACTGACTCAACGGTTGTTTTAGGGTGGATTCAACGTAAGCAATCCTGGACGGTATTTGTGAAGAACAGAGTAAATGAGATAAATAGTTTAACGGATCCTCTTGCATGGAAACATCTTCCTGGGATCCAGAATCCAGCTGATTTGCCTTCTCGAGGATGTTCGTCTAGACAACTGTTATCAAGCAAATGGTGGGAGGGCCCTACTTGGTTATCAGAACCTTCTTCTAACTGGCCCATCAAAGAACAGAATTTTGATGAACATTCTATAGCTAAAGAAAAGAGAAAAACAAAATCTGATGGGGATTCTTCTATCTGTTCTCTAAGTTTCTCAAATACTTTATCAGGTTCAATGTTTCTTCTAACCTTCTTCGGAAACATACAAGGACCTGACTAGGAACAGAGAGCTTACTAAAGCTATGTTCACTAATTGTAGTAAGTAGACAGGATACAGACGAAGGGTATACAAAACCCTTTATTTTTCTTTATATACAATGACTTCCGTACTTCGGAATACAATGACCCTCCACTCGGGGTCTAACGTAAAAGATATCAAAATAAAACTAAACTCTAATTTAACTTTAGAATAAGATTGGCCTTATAATAACAGGAAGCGTATGTAGCACAGAGACTGTGAACACTACAATACGTTTAATTTATCAAGAGGATTAAAACCTCTGGCCTGGAAGGCAAATAGCAACTGCGTAACTTCTAAGGTAAGCGGCCTGCTTCGAACTCACTGCTTCCTCTCTCTTTCGCTTGGCAAAAAGGCCACACTTAAATACTTGGCGTTCGCCAGACAAACTTTGCATAAAAACCTTCACGCTTATAATTCTGGCCGGAAGTAGAAAATAAGAAGTAAAGATTTAAAATAAAATAAACGTTAGTAAAACTTAAGATCCTTACAACTTGTAGCTGCAAAACTTATGAAAAGAAAAATGGATGCAGACATTACGAATCAAGTTGGTACTATTATTATTTTTCAAGCTATGACAAAGTGATACGGTTGATTGCTTGGATAAAAGGATTTATCTTTTATTGTCTAAATGCAAAGTCTTCGCAAAAATTATTGGAGAGTTATCCTACGAAGAAGTCAAAAATGCAGAAAAGAAAGTCATATTATTAATACAAAACGAATACTTTTCTGATCATTTAAACAAAAGAAATTTAGAATCTTTGGCAACATATAAGAACGAAGAAGGAATTATTAGACTGCGAACGAAAATTATATTTCGGAAGGATACAGAAAACTTTAAACATCCTTTTGTTTTACCGGGAGAACATCAGGCTGTCAAAGGGTTAATTACAACAGAATACCAGAAGAACTCTCACGCTGGTTCTCAAATATTGTTGAATATTCTAAGAGAACATTATTGGATTTTAAACGCGAAAAACGTCATTAGATCTCTTTTGTCCAAATGTGTTACTTGTTTAAGGTAGCAAAGAGAAATTTAACAGCACCGATATCTGCATTACCAGAAAATCGCGTAAGAGATGCATCTATTTTTGAAATTATTGGAATTGATATGCTGGACCTGTGTATTTAAAAGGAGAAGAAAAGGCTTGGATTTGCCTATATACGTGTGCTGTATATATAGAGCTGTGCATTTTGAACTCAGTTCCTCATTGTCTACAGAGGCTTTTCTCCAGAGTTTCCGTCGGTTTATAGCCCGCAAAGGCCATCCTTCTGTAGTTTATTGTGACAACGGAAGCAACTTCGTTGGAGCATCAAATTGTTTGAAACTCGTTGATTGGAATGTCGTTTCTCAATACACCACCACTAAGAAAATTCAATGGTTTTTCAATCCCCCAACTGCCTCTTGGTGGGGCGGTTTTTGGGAGCGATTAGTTGGCTTGATGAAATAAATTCTTAGAAGAGTTTTGGGGAAATCTCTGCTGTCTTTTGAAGAAATGACAACGGTATTGTGTGATACTGAATTTGTTATTAACTCTCGTCCACTTACCTATGTTTCAAAAAAGGAGTCTGAACTTGTTCCTTTATCTCCTAACTCATTTTTGCAAGATTTCCGAAAGTCAGGCGTTCCTGATTTGGATGAGATTGATCAGCATTCCGTCAACAAGAGATTAAAATATCGTCAACAACTAATCACGGATATGCGAAAAAGATTGAGATCTGAATACCTAGGACTTTTGATTCAAAGACATGATCCGAAGAAGCACGAGCAAAGTATCAAACTTGGAGACGTAGTTCTTGTTGGAAGTGATAATGTTAAATGTACTGAGTGGCCATTAGCCGTTGTTACAGAATTGTTACCTGGAAGAGACAATGTCATTAGATTGGTACGATTGAACAAATGGGGAAAATGCAGAAAAAAAACTACAAATGGGAAACTTTTACTTCCCGTACAAAGAATTTTTCCTTTAGAACTTTCATGTAATTGGTTCGAAGATCTAAAAAATGAAAGATTTGAACAAGCTAGGGTTGAAGGGTATTCAGTGGAAAACAGCCAAAAAGATATTAAATCTATAAAAACCAGGAGTGAAAGAGAAGTGAAGCCTATCCTAGACTAGACTTACAGACTTTATAAATGTTTGGACTTTAATTCATTTCTTTTATGTTTTTCCATTAAGTTTTTCTTTAATATTTCTAATAGGTTATGTTTTTTCCCAACAACTTAAGGTGGGAGGATGTTGGATTTCAAAACAATGTAGTTTGTATTTTGTATTTACTTTACTTTAATTTTAAACTTATAATTTTACAATACTTATTACTTTTACCTTTTGGCCACTAATAATTGTTGTTAGTTTGGCTTCATGAGAGTGGCAACAGGGCAATTCTTAGAATTAGGAATACATGTTTCTTTAGTTAGTTAGGCTTATTGAAGATTAATTGTATGTTATATACCTAAGTGATGTTTTATTAAATAAATGAATGCTTTAGAATATAGTAGTCTCTTATAAAATTATTGAGAATTCATTCTGCTGTTTCGATTTTCGCCCCAGATAATTGAAAAATTATTCTAATATAATTGAATTTATTGTGCATTACATGAGAAAATAAAAGTACTTAAACTTTTAATGGCTAAAGTGCAGAATCGCCCACTTATTTGTTTGGCGTTTTTTTACAAAAGTAAGAAGAATTGGATTTTTGTCAATTTTCTTTTGACTTTTAAAGTGAAAATAGGTCGATGTGTACATGGATAAAGTGAAGGGAGTGCGCAGTGCCATTTTTGTGCAATTCTGCGGTAGAATATATATTTATATGAGCTAAAATATTATTTGAATCAAACAAAATAATAAAAAAGTGTTGCTTTGTCTAATAGTAAGAGTCAATTGATTGAATAAAGTCAGTTAACGGTATTCGGCATCAAGCCAGCTGTTATAAAGTCACACACATAAACGATTTTTTTTTTCTTTAAATTTGTTACTCCAACGAAAGGGACAACGGCAACAATTTATTGATCGTTCTTTTTGCATTGATCGTTCTTTTTGCAGAAAACAGAAGTTATTGTAAATTGTAAACAGAAGTTACGAGATCTAAATACTTGTAAATATATATATATATTATGAAACTGTAGTTGCTTATTTTATTTTGATCATTTGTGATATTGTCTTTTGTATTGCTGAATTGTTTTTTCACATAAATGATTCACTATTTAAAGTGTATTTAAAGGAAAATATTATCAGTTTTAAAATTTAGTGAAATTAACTAAATTAATTACAACAAACCTCATTTAGAAAGTTCATACTTTAATTAAAGTTAGGGGTAAATTTAAGGAAGTATTAATAAGAAATTAGGTTTTCTTTATTAATTTTTTTTAAAGAGTGAGGTTTATTTAAAATAGAACTATGGCTTTTATGGGACGTGGGGAAAAGGAGGATTTGTTAGTGTAAGCTGCTGAATTAGAGATTCAAGTGGATCCAAGTATGAAAATTATAGCAATAAAAAATAAAATAGTTAAAAGTGAGACATACGATGAAGAATTTGCTATAGAAATATTTTTCACGATTGGTGAAGAGAGGAAAAGAAAAGAAGAAACAGAAGAATTGCGCTGGAAAGAAGAGATTGAGAACAAGGAAGGAGAGAAGAAATAGAAAGAGAAGAAAAGCGGAGAAAGGAAGAATTGGGGTTTATCTGAGCTAACGGGAGTTGGTTCCATGTGTCGAATAGCTCCGCTGTGTCTGCAGTTCAGATATTTCAACTTGCTGCCCTATGGGGAAAAACTGGTTTTCAAGATGGGCCGACTACGTTAGTTGTGTTCGTTAGCTTAGGTACACCCCGGTGGGAACGGCCCTTTAGAGGCACAGCAGAAAAGAGAACAAATGGAATTTGAATTTAGGAAATTCGAAATTGAATCTCGTGCTCGTCTAACACAAACTACACCGAAAAATGAAAATGAACATCTCAATTTCGATTTAATTAAGCTTATTCCTAAGTTCAAGTTAAGAGATGACGTCGTGATTTATTTATCCTTATTTGAAAGACAAGCTGAAAAGAGCAAAGATTGATCCTAAAGACTTGGGTTTCATGTTTATTGATCTTTAATGCCATCTTGAAATCATTCAACTTTATTGGTATAAGAATCTGAAGAAAATTTTCAGGATTATGAGTACATTCAAGGCCATTTTATTGAAGAGATTTAAATTAAATCCTGAGAGCTTTAGAAAAAAGTTTGTGATGTGCACCAAAATAGCACTGAAACTGAAAAATCATGGAGCGATTTTTGCTACGACATTACAAGTTATTTTGAAGAATGGATCAATGGGCCTTGAAATCACAGACTTTGCTGGTTTAAAAGACTTCATTATCACAGACCAAATTAAGAAAAGAGTGCCTCATGAAGTAAGGGACCGTTTTCTTGACGATTGGGTGAAGTTCGTCTTCTCCGACCAAATTAGCGGATTTAACTCGATGAAATATGACAGTGTTCGTAATACTTCAAAAACGACTGGTGGTAGCCCATCGAAAGAAAAAACTAATGAAAAGTGGCAACCTCGTTCTCCACTTCCAGAAAGGACTTCCAAAAACAAATCGTTCTCCATTCAGAAACACGCCAAGAGGTAA